TTAATATTTACATATTTTTTTTAGACTAATGACCCGGTCCGGGTCACCGGTTTTGCCGGTTTGACCACCGGGTCACCAGTTTTCACCGGTTTTGCTCCCACTCCGGGTTTAGGGGGTTGACCGGACCGGAACAAGGCCTGGTTCCTGGTCCGACCGGCTAGTCCGGTTTGGGTTTGAAAACATTGGTTTGAAGCACTGGTTCAGCTACGTGAGACTTCGACCTAGAACAGTGCTCTTCTTCGGTGGCGACGATTAACAGTTTGAAGGGTATTGTTCTTTTCTTCTCTTCGATCTGGAGAAAATCTCAGTTTGATTCTTGAGGTATGTTCAAATTCTCCCCTCTCTCTCTCTCTCTCTCTCTCTCTCTCACACACACACACACACACACATTCACTCCATTTGTTCGATTAGTTTCTCTGCTTACATAGTGAGAATAGTTACAAGTGGAAGTGAAGGTCGAATCCGATATCAATCCATGAGACCAAAAAAACTTAGCCTTTGAGTTAAAAACAAAAAAATCATAAATTTTAAAAAAAAAAAAAAAAAAATAGCAGGAAGTAGCAAAAAATCAGTGATTACCTCAAGAATTTTTTTTTATCAGAAATTAGTAGAAAATCGATGATAAAAAATTATATATTTTTTTAAATGGAAATTAGTAGAAATTCCCGCTAGTTTCTTTAGGTTTTCTTTTGTTTACAGTATTGAGTTGGTTAATAATCATATGGGAACAGATCAATTGATGGAAGAGGGTCTGAAAGTGGATTCACTATGTTATTTGTTTCCCTATTAGAACATGGAATCAAAACAGAATATATTTTACTAGTGCACTATAGTCTAGAACCAATTGATACAATTCATGGCTTTAATGCACTATATATTCTTTGTATAATATTTGACACCAAATTTAAAACTCCTGCCAGAAAACTAGAAGGAATCTAAGTTTGAGTTATCAGAATGCCTAACAAATGTAGTTTAGACATATAGTTCCAGAAGCCAATTTTAAATCTCAAAATTGCCTAAGGATTAGAATTTTTCTAGCCTTTGAGTTCAAATTTCTCTAGCCTTCACTTATTCTGAGTCATCAAATAGACTTCAGAATTTATCTTAACAAAGATCTGGATGGTAGTACAAGGGCAACTAGAAGTTTGTTGTACTTGTCATGGTGGCTCACTGCTCATGCCTCTATAATTTAGCGTACCCTATCAATGTTTTCCCAAACTTTTTTTTATTAAAATTGGGTTGTGACAAATACAATCGGGTCGAATACCATCCCTTGTGTGCAGTTAAAATTTAGCACAATCTCAAATAAGAGACAATCCTAGGACTTCAATGGAGATTTGCAGAAGATACTCCTAATTGGGCAATTAAATGCACTAGTACAATTTTTCTATTAGTAGACATTTAGATTCTCAACCCATTTAACAGAGGCACAATTATAGCAGAGTTACAATTGTACATAAACTTCAATTTTTTCAAAGTTCTAATTGAATCAATTCAAATTTTGTGTTCTACCGTGCTAATTAATGCTGCTGCTGGCCAGTTCACTAATTCATTTCTTCCTTGCTCCCTTCCTCCCTTCCCCTATTCCCCTATCAAATCATCCCTATTCCCCTATTACCCTTCCCCTATTCCTCAATGCACTAATACTTATATTGCATTTGAAAAAAAAAAATTGTTTTCATACAAAAATGAAAATGATACGAAATGGGTGAGGGGAGGATGATGGTGTCAAGATGGTGGGGTGAGGGAGGGTGCTCACTAGAAGGGATTACTGGGAGGGGTGAGGGGAGGGGAAGGGGAATGATTGTCGGAGAGTGGGCAGTCTATCCTGAGTTTGGTCCTGGGTGGGTCTCAAGATTGGTTCTCAGTTATTTAATTTTTTAAAAAACTTTTTTTAAGCATTGTTGCTTCTTTTTGCACCCTGATGTTACAAAGGGTTAGTTTGGGCGACTGTTTTTATCTCTCGATATTATTGTTTGTCCACAAAATAGAAGAGAGGTTAGATCTAAGCCATTATTTTATTAACCATATGGGCCCATCCTACTTTTCTGGTAATCAACTGTTAATACCCCTTATTCCAAACAATAATGTAGATCATGGATTTATGTGGAGGGAGTGAAAAAAGAAACACTACAAGAAATTAGTCCTTTAGAGACTACTATTTAGGGACTAATTAAATTTAGTCGCTAAAAATAATCTTTTAGGGACAAATTTAAACATATAATAATTTACTTACAAGATTGTAAAAATGATTAATAATATTCTCACTTAATATTTACATATTTTTTTTAGACTAATAAATTTGGTTGCTAATATATTTACATAATTTTTTTAGACTAACAAATTTGGTTGCTAATATATTATTAATATTTAGGGACCAAATATTTGCGCCATTATTAATTAAAAACAATTTGAGACCAATTATTTTCATCATTTTAACAATTGAAAAGTCGGGACCTCATTCTTCACTTCAGCCCTAACTTGCTCATTCTCTCTCTCTCTCTCTCTCTCTCTCCCTCCGTAATCGATCTTCATACCTGTAAGAGCTCCAAGGCAGATTGAGCTCCACATTTGAAGATTAATAGTTTTTCAATTAACAATTGAAGATTGAGCTCAATCTTCAATTGTCAATCTTCAATCTCTCGCACCTCAGTTTGCTTAATCTTCAGCCCTAAAGTCGAGAGCTCCAAGGCAGATTGGGAGCTCAATCTTCTTCAAATTTTGGTGCATCTCTCTCTCTCTCTCTCTCTCTCTCTCTCTCTCTCTCCGTAATCGATCTTCGTAATCGACCTGTAAGAGCTCCAATTCAAACTTTCAATTTCTTATCGTAATCGATCTGTGTTTTACATAGATTGAACTGTTTATTGTATTTTCAATTTCTTATCGTGTTTCAATCTATGTCTTACTTTATTTCTTATCGTGTTTCAATCTCTGTTTATCGTCTCCGATCTCCGTAATCGACCTGTTTATTGTATTTGCAATTTCTTATTGTGTTTCAATCTGTGTTTTACAGAGACTGAACTTGTTTCTTATCTTAATGCTTGTTGAAATTTTTCTTTCAATTAACTTTTGCATTGTCACCATGATGTGCGGCTAATAGGTGTTGAATTTTGTCCTAATAATAGCATGTGAGGAGTAGTTTGATAGCTCTTATATTAGTAAAAAAGAATAAATTAGTTGTGAAATAAAATAATTAATTGTGGAACTGGGAATTTTGGTCTATTCCCATGTTCTTCTTGACTACATGCATGTGCTCTGCAATGCATATTTGATATCACTCACTCTAGTTGAACCTTGCAGATTCTAGGTGTGTAATATGATTAAGGCACACACATTGATCTTCATTTATTTTTTTTCTGCTAATATATACATATACATATATATATATATATATATATACATGTACATTATTTAAATCATTTTTTTTTTATCAGCGCATTATTTAAATCACTTGTCAACATAGTTTTTGTTTATTATGTTATTACCTCAACGTATCTGAGATTCTGGTCGATTGATTATATTTATAACAAATTTTGGAATCCTCAAATTTATTTATTTATGCAATTACTTAACATGAATATATGTTTATTACATTACGCAGTTGTTGAATTGGTATATAAACAATGTTTAATGATTCATTCACACAATTTGTTTTACCTGAATGCAGACAATTGAGACTCTGACCAGTAAGAGTTTCAATTGTGTGCATTCAGGGGTCTGAAAATCCTTCAAAACCTTACCATCCCATTGATCCCCTTCCTTCGCCACAGTCCACACAATGACTCTCCCATCCTGTGAAAGCCTAATCCACAGCCATCCCAAACTAGAAAGCCTGAAGGAAGGAGATAATCCATATATTCATAACTACCCTAATCCACCGCCACCGTTCTATACTACTTTTTACCAGCCAGTTTACGAGCCTTGCACACATCCTTGCACCATCTTGTGATCTCATCTGATCTTTTGTGAGATAGATACAAATTCATCACTAGTTGTAATATATGCATTCTGGTTCTTCTTCTCATGTTGTACCAAATCGCAATGGTTGTAAGTTTTGATCTTTTGAACTAAATTCAGTTTTAGCAAGGTTTGTCAAACGTGATCTATCTATCTATCTATCTATGTTATGTTTTTCTTTCTCTACTTGTTTCTAGTGTATGTATGCATGTTTGCAATTTATGTTTTGTTTTTCTTTCTTTACTTGTTGGATTTTACTGCCGTAATCACCAGCCTCCTATAGAAAGCCATTTGGTATGCTATAGCCATTACACTTGGACTTAACATTGCTAAACCTTTCTTCTCTTTATAGGGTTTGACCTTATTTGATTTATGACCTTATTTAACTTAACATTGCGATTATTTATTTATTTATTTTTTAACGTGGGGATATGATTGTTATCAATGTTATTATGTGTCCTGATGTTTTGCTTTTGCTTTTGTTTTTGCTTTTGTTTTATGTGGTGTGCCTTGGCAATACATCTCTGAATTTTTGTTTGTCAAAAGATAGATATGAATCACATAATCAAAAGTAGATATACATATTAGTGAAACTTCTTCAAGAATTTAGTTGTGTTCCTCCTTTAAGACCACATATAGAAAGTAACAAGATATTGGAATTGAAGGATAATGTCTTTGTGTACTTTGTAATAGGGATTTCGGGATGTATAGGAGTTGGATGCAACTTCATAATAAAAGGTTACATCAATACATTGATGGGTTAAAAGAATTTATCATGTTTGCTCGTGATCATATGAAATCAGGGACGAGTAAGATTTGGTGTCCGTGTAATAGATGCAACAACCATATCCAAAAAATCATAGATGAAGTTGAAATTCATTTGTTTGCATATGGGCTTGTCACAACTTACACTAGGTGGGTGTATCATGGGGAAGACTTTGAGTTGAATGACAATGATCCCTCGGAAAATGAAAATGACGAATATTTCAATGATGTGACAGAGAAATCAAATTCTCCCAATACTGAGGTCCGAGAAATTATTCATGACATACATAGTGGACCATCTACATTTGCTTATACTGGGGGAAGCATCTAGTAGTCGTAATCCTGACTTGTCTGGTGCTCATGGTAGTGAAGGAAATACATTTGCAAGATTAATGAGGGATGCAGAACAAGAATTGTATCCGAATTGCCAGCGATATTCCAAATTATCATTCATTGTTAAGCTGCTACATATAAAGGTGCTCAATAAATGGAGCAACAAATCACTCACGATGATACTAGAACTGTTGAAGGATGCACTTCCCATCGGTGAAACACTCCCATGCTCATACAATGAAGTTAAACAAATACTTCGAGATTTGGGCCATGATTATAAAAAAATACATGTATGCAAGAACGATTGTGTACTTTTTTGGAAGGAATATGAAAATGAAGATAAATGCCCTACTTGCAAGGAGCCTAGATACAAATTTCATAAAGGTGAAGGTAAAGGTAAAAAGATCCCTCACAAGGTTTTGCGGTACTTTCCTTTAAAACCAAGGCTACAAAGGTTATTTATATCAAGGAAGACAGCTACTGATATGAGGTGGCACAAAGATATACGCGTAGAGGAGAAAAATGTAATGCGCCATCCGGCGGACTCTGAAGCATGGAAAGACTTTGACAAAAAGCATGAGTCATTCACCAAAGATCCTCGAAATGTTAGGCTCGGATTAGCAAGTGACGGCTTCAATCCATTTGGGAATATGAGTACCTCATATAGCATATGGCCAGTTTTTATTGTCCCATACAATTTGCCACCCTGGAAATGCATGAAAGATCCATTTTTTATGATGCCTTTGCTTATTCCTGGGCGTAGAGCTCCTGGATTTGACATTGATGTGTTTTTACGACCGCTAATAGATGAGCTAAATGAGTTATGGGAGGTAGGGGTAGAGACCTACGATGCATCAAGTGACTCTAATTTTCAACTGTGTGCGGCATTATTATGGACTATCAATGACTTTCCTGCGTATGGTAATTTATTCGGTTGGAGCACCAAAGGCAAATTGGCTTGTCCATCATGCAATGAGAATACATCTCACCAATACTTGCATCATTATAGAAAAACTTGTTACATGGGACATCGTCGTTTTTTACCTCATGATCATTTTTTGCGAACAAGCAAGTCATTCAATGGTGAGCCAAAGCTTAGGTTAGAACCTAAGTTGTTGTCAGGAGATGAGGTTTTGGGTTAATTGGGGCATTTAGACCCATCATTATTTGGGAAAATAAATCAACGTGGGAAGAAGCGAAAACGTTCTCCTCAATATTTAAATTGGACAAGGAGGAGAATTTTCTTTGATTTACCTTATTGGAAAACCCTCAAAGTTCGTCACAACCTTGATGTTATGCACATTGAAAAAAATGTATGTGATAGTGTTCTAGGAACATTGATGAACATTGATGGAAAAACCAAGGACACATACAAGGCTCGTCTTGATCTAATGGATATGGGTATAAGGCCTAAATTACATCCAAGGGAAGTACATGGCCAAACATTCCTACCTCTTGCTTGCTTCATGTTGTCTCCACCTAAAAAGAGGAACTTTTGTGAATTCTTGAGTTCAATTAAATTGCCAGATGGCTATGCCTCAAACATATCACATTGTGTGAACACTAGTGACTATCGAATTACGGGGTTGAAAAGCCATGATTGCCATGTTATCTTGCAAAGATTACTTCCTATTGCTCTACGTGGATGTTTGAAAAAGGATGTGAGCAAAGCATTAATTGAGTTTAGCTTGTTCTTTAAGGAGTTATCGTCAAAGACATTGAGAGTTGATGTCTTAGAACAACTTGAGAAAGATATTGTTTTAATTTTGTGCAAGCTCGAGAAGATATTTCCACCATCTTTTTTTGATATTATGATTCATTTATCCATTCACTTATCGCGTGAAGCAATCCTTGCAGGACCGGTGCAATACCGGTGGATGTATGGATTTGAAAGGTACATGCATATTCTTAAGGGTTATGTACGCAACAAAGCTCGTCCAGAAGAATCTATTGCTGAAGGTTACATTGACAATGAGGCTCTCACTTTTTGCTCTATGTACTTCCATGGAGGTGAGACAAGATTTAATAGACCTGAACGAAACTATGATGGGCCTATTGAGGCAGCACAAGATGGAAACTTGTTTGTATTTAGGCAAAAAGTTCGTGGATTAGGAGCTGCAATTAATGATGTGTTGAATTTAGTGAATTTGAAAAAAGTTCGATGGTACGTGTTGAATAATTGTGATGAAGTTCAACCATATGTGCTGTAAGTAAACTACCATATGATTATATTCACTAGAATATTTTACTTTTTGAATTATATTATTTTCACAACCATTTGTGTTGAATAATGTTGTTATAATTTATAGGCAATACATGGATGAACTTGAAGGACAAGGTTTGACAAATATGCAAGAGAGGCTAGAATCATAGTTCCATACATGGTTTCTAAAATATGCCTAAGTGGAGTTTTATTAGCCCTGAGGATAAAGAAACGCTAATTGCATACCTTCGAGTAAGATAGTTTTTTTTTAGTCTAGTTTAATATTCCCTTTTAGTTTATGAATTATGTTGCTTAATGTTTTAAAGTGTTTAATTTTATTGGTATGGCAGGAAGGTTTCATTTTTAGTAATGAACCTTATGCTATTGCTTCTATCCTTGGAATGATGAAACTCCGGTACAAGACCTACCGCTTTAATCTACGCCAACATTTTAGAAGTTTCCCTACGATGGAATCAGCCCTTGCAAACCCACATGAAGATATCGAAAAAGAGGTGTGGCAATACCTATGTCAATTACGGGATGATAAGACGTACCAGGTAATTGTTGAACACACTTGTAATGCACTTGCACACACTTGTGGTGAGGCTGCAGCTCTTGTGTAGGCTGCTTGTACTGGGCTGCTGATGATGCTACAGCTGCTGCTATGGCGGAGGCTGCTGCTAGGCATGTAGCTGCTGCTGTTACTAAGCATTTGGGCACATGGACTCGATTTCTTCTGAATATATTTTTACACTTCATGCAGGAGAAATGTCAGAAAAACAAGGAAAATCGGTTTGAGCTTAAAGTCCTCCATACAGCTGGCTCAAAGGCATTTAGAAAGGTGCAATATGATGAGGTAAACAACTGACCTTTAAATCATAGGGTCTACGCGGCACTTTTTTTATTTCTTTTATTTGGTGATGTATGTACTCCATAGGATACTAACTATAAAGGTTTTGACAGCGAGACAAGGATGGAAAGGAGCTTGGACTTGTTGATTTGTATCACAAGACACACTTTAGTCAGAAAAGGCAAGCATGGGTCCATAATGAAGCTGAAATTAGACATGTAAGAATTTTCTAATGTTAAATATAAGTATTTTCCTGTTAATGATTACTTGTCTAAGGCTCATGTGTTGTGAATCTTTAGCACTAAAAACGAACAATGTAAATGATTATGAATGTAAATGATTTGGACTAGATCACCTGTTTTTAAGTTTGGAAATATTGGAGTGAAAGTTTATGAGACAAAATGGTATGATTTGAATATTTGCAGCATTGTTGTTGCAAGGCTAAGGTTTGGTAGGAGCTTTAACTGTATAGGCACTGACCTAATAATCCATCTTGGTCCAACTTGGTCTTGAGACCATAAACTATGTCATGCTTGATCTAGTGAATATTTGCAGTCATAATCTGTTCCTTGTTCTTGTCCAAAACAATTGCATTGAAGAATAACATAATCCCTTCCCATATGTTAGTTTAACCATACTTTGTTTTTGTTTTTGTTTTTTTTCTTTTTCTTTCGTTTCTTTTTTGTACAAACTATATATTTTCTAATCTTTTGGGATGAGAAAGGGAGTTGACAAGATTTGAAACCTCACTAGTGACTGTTTCAATTACTCACACTTGTGTTCAGATTTTATTTTATATTGCTTTATTTGAGATTTTTCTCACTTTTGAAGTTCTTTTGTATTACTTAAATTTTGTATTTGATCTTTAGTGTGAAGGTAGTTCATTTTCATAGTAATATGATATACGTTATTAATGTTTGCAAAAGTGGAAAAAGACCGATTAATATATGACTGTATTGTCGATACTGATACTGATACTGATGCATATTGTCCATCCTCTTCTTCTATTGTGGTGGATTTATGATATGGGTGATGATCCAAATTTGTAATTATGTTTTGCCTCAAGGGGAGCCCTGTTCTTCAACTGCAATCTTCTCTCTCCTTTATTTTATTTATTTTTATTTTTTTTTAGAGGTTTTTGATGTAGTTGATGACTTAAAGTTTGTAATAAAGTTTTTCCTACCTGTTTAAACTATAAGTATTGATATTGATCCTGAATTTGTCCTAGTTCTTCTTGATCTTATTCTTCTTTTGTCTTATCAAGACTTTTCATTTGAGTGTCTACATGAATGTGTGCTCGTGAATGTACGAACGTAGATAAACATTCACATGTGAACTCATTCAAAGTAATTAAGAAGCAATTAGACATAGAAAAACCAAATCCTCTGTCCGGATTTGTAAGGTATCTATCAAGTGGTATAGGTTGATTGAGTTAAGGGAAAGTAGACAGATGATTCTTTGTTTGGATCTCCCTGTTTCTCTATTTTAAATAACTTTTTCACCATATAATCAAATCAAAGAGACCTATGGTGTACTTATGTAAGAATAATATTAGTAATTAGATAGATAGATAGATAGATAGATAGATAGATAGATAGATAGATAGATAGATAGATAGATAGATAGATAGATAGATAGATAGATAGATAGATAGATAGATAGATAGATAGATAGATAGATAGATAGATAGATAGATAGATAGATAGATAGATAGATAGATAGATAGATAGATAGATAGATAGATAGATAGATAGATAGATAGATAGATAGATAGATAGATAGATAGATAGATAGATAGATAGATAGATAGATAGATAGATAGATAGATAGATAGATAGATAGATAGATAGATAGATAGATAGATAGATAGATAGATAGATAGATAGATAGATAGATAGATAGATAGATAGATAGATAGATAGATAGATAGATAGATAGATAGATAGATAGATAGATAGATAGATAGATAGATAGATAGATAGATAGATAGATAGATAGATAGATAGATAGATAGATAGATAGATAGATAGATAGATAGATAGATAGATAGATAGATAGATAGATAGATAGATAGATAGATAGATAGATAGATAGATAGATAGATAGATAGATAGATAGATAGATAGATAGATAGATAGATAGATAGATAGATAGATAGATAGATAGATAGATAGATAGATAGATAGATAGATAGATAGATAGATAGATAGATAGATAGATAGATAGATAGATAGATAGATAGATAGATAGATAGATAGATAGATAGATAGATAGATAGATAGATAGATAGATAGATAGATAGATAGATAGATAGATAGATAGATAGATAGATAGATAGATAGATAGATAGATAGATAGATAGATAGATAGATAGATAGATAGATAGATAGATAGATAGATAGATAGATAGATAGATAGATAGATAGATAGATAGATAGATAGATAGATAGATAGATAGATAGATAGATAGATAAA